TAAGGCAGGCAGTAGCTGAATAGTTTATAAACTTTAATCAAAGCAAATATTGACTTTGCACTATATGGAAGTTTCTAACATCTTAATCCTGTAAATGCAATATTTAGCAAACTAAATTACACCACGGAATTTTTTGTGCACCATTTTCATAAACAAAAGCTGATTTTGAACTAGATGTATTACATTTAGACAGAAATTCACTCAAACTCACGCAGAAACGAGAAACTAATCATATTACTGTAATAGGCACGACAGAAATGTAATTCCTGAAGCAGTGTACCTATGAGACTTGAATAACTCACGAATCAAAATGTGATGAAGGTACCTACGCATAATAGAAAACGTCATTGCGTCACATTGTAACGAGGACGACTTAGAAAGGAAGTTAGAAACGTTCTTCAAATTCAAATTATAGGAATTAGTACTCGACTGCTATCTACATTTTCCCATTGTTCTCATTCTGCAATAATTGAACTGGTCACCTTGTATTAACAAAGACCACCCACAACTATTCGATCTAAATTTATTTCCAGAAAAAAGAAAACCTTTTCAATTTCATTAAACGCAGACACTTCTTTTTATCAAAGTTTTACAGTCGTTTTTGTTAAGAAAGTGATTATCCCTTCCTAAATAAATTTATCCCAAACAAGGATATAAAAGGATTTCTACTTTCAACCTTAATTCGGGATTTTCTTTCTTAAAATATGTTCCCATTATTCTATTATTGTGTGTACCTATTGAAAGGCGCTTGATACGGGGAAACAACATAAAAAGCTCGCGCAAATTTCTCTCAATATTTTTAGCGAAATATGGATCGCTCCATTACTTCCCACAGTGTCAGAGAGTGTTTGTTACAGCTCAGAAAAGAAACTGCTTCTCCGTGATTGAAACATTGTAGTTCTGCATGCACATATTGCACTCACAACGACTGCTGTGGAGACATCTGAACTAATTAGGCAGAATTCTCAAAGGTTACCATTTTGTAAATGAATGTATGGATTTCTATTTGTGCCTCAGATTGTGGCATGTGATCTTTGTTATAACTGCGGTAACAGTGCAGCACTAAGAATAGTGGAAACTTTAACAGTAGATCCAATTCTTCATTGTACTTCTTGTAGTTCTACAATTATGTCAGTGTATTTGCTGGTCCTGGTCTATTATGTAAATAGAACTTTGTATCTTATTGGAATGCCTAGTCTATTATTGTGTGTGTGGTTTTTAAGTATTATTTGTGGAGTGTAGTGTGTATCTGTTATGCGATAATGCTTGTATTATGTTTGTGTAGGTCGTGTATGTGCGGATATTATGTGTTGGATTGTTTTTGATTTTTTGTGATGTAAAGATGTGAAATTTAATGTGATTAATTCGTAATTTGACTCCTGTAGGAATCTGGAATTAATCTAAATCTCTATCAGGAGAGGGCGGTAGTTTCGGAGACGTCATGTTTGTTGACATTCCCACCAGTACAGTTACCATCACCATTTCATTCCCACTTCCTTCCAAACACTATATAAACAGAAACCGAATCAGAAAGGGGGTCTTTAAATCGTTGCCCTGATCCTAAGTACCACATTTCCATTCCCTGGTCCGAGTAGCGGTTTTAGATCGCTCTCTGGCAATAATTTACCTGTCCCTCCATTAAAGTAGAGGTGTCGGTTGTAATACCGCGCTCTTCCCAGTTACCTTCCTTAAATTAAGGGTGTCCGACTGTATATCCGCGCTCTTAATTAAGTTTACCTGTTTTTAAATTTCGGCAGACGCATTCGCGCTGGCCCAAAACAATTACTCCTGTAATATACCCTGGGTAATGTTTTAGTGGGGTTTTAACGTAAAATCTTACCTAATTTGCCTGATAAGTTACAGAGATAAATAAAAACTACAAGGCAGATCAAGGACCCGTTCTATCTACGGTTCAAATTGGGTCGCATTCAGCCTTTATAATTTAGTTTCTGTACAACTGTAAATATTTAGTTAAGTTGTGTATATATTTTCTAATCATTATATTACTTGTATTCTACCACGCTTTGGTTAATTATTTAAGTGGTGACCTGGATCTCCGGTATAGAGCTACCCAGAACAGCTCCCTGTGTTCCTGAACGTAGGCAACCCAACATACACAGGTTGTCGTGACGAACAGGAGGCGTTGTAGAAAGGTCCTTAGGTTACGAAGAGGCTAAGGGTAGCCTGTAACCGCTAGGACCTTGAACAGAGACGAAAAGAATCAAGGGCGGCCATTACCTTCTTTTTAATTTTCGTTTCAGTTGTAGAGGGCCCATTATTAATAATATAAGTGAACGAAACATCCTGTCTCCCTACTACTTATTTCATATAAGGGATACCTCCATAATACGAATGTTCGAAATGTTTTAATTTAGGGCGAATCTGTCCGTTTTCTAATAACGACCTGTTTATAACGATTGGAGTGTTTGAAAAACCAACGGCCCGTGATTTATTTATTTATTTATTATCCCTCTCCTGTTCTGGACCCTCAACAGGCTTGCGCCCAATTACAGAGTGACCCGTATAATGCTTTTTAGAGGTGCCTCTCAGTTGTTCTATACTACTCCGGTATTTACCTTACGAATTAGGAAAACGGCAGGAAAACCTAATTAGGGGTAGCCGGCAGAATTCTCGAAACTGGTCTAAGGTAATTACCATTTCTGCCACAGATGAAAAATACACCTCAACCCAGGTTCGAACACCCGACCTCCGGATTTATAGACCAACGCTGATGTTGTTGTTGATCCTGATAAGGCCAGAGCCGTTAGAGAATAACGAATTCCAATTGATAGATCTCAGGTAAGAAGTTTTCTCGGCCTGTACACTTATTACCGATGAATTGTGATGGGTTTTGCAACAATTGCTAAACCTCTAACTCGCCTTACTGACGATTCTAACGTTTTTGATTGGAGAGAAGAGTGTTTCGCTGCTTTTCAGGAGTTAAAAAGGCGTTTAACGACTACACCGATAGGTACTGTGTTCTCCTTGATCGGATACCGAAGCCAGTAACGTCGCAAATGGCAGTGTTTTATGCCAAAAACAACATTGAAGAGGAAAAAGTTGTTGGGTTGCTTTAGTAAGGTGCTTTCTAAGCCAAAACCAAATTATTACCCGACACCTGTTACTAGCAGCTGTAAAATCCATAGAGCACTTCTAAAAATATCTGTACGAAAGAAACTTTCCGTACGGACAAATCATGCAGCCTTGAGATGGTTACTAAATTTTAAAAATCCAGAAGCTCAGATTGCAAGATGGGTCGAAAGAATACAAGGACACGACTTCACCATCGACCATAGAGCAGAGACAAGCCTTCGGAATGCTGATGTATTGTCAAGACCTTGCCCACCGAATTATAAGCATTATAGGGCAGAAGTAGAGATGGCACCTGTGTCTAGAACGACGTTTATGCCAGCCGTGTTGGCATCTGAACAAGAATCTGGCGCGGATTTGAAACCGATTATTGCGTGGTAGAAAAATGGACGGCGCGGAGACCCGGTTGGCACCTTATTCTCCCAATGTGAAGGCGTACTGGGCGCCATGGGATTCGTTGGTGATTGAGAACGATCTTCTAAAGCGTATCCTGGAGAGTGACGACGAACAACAACAGAAGTTACAGTTGTTGATCCCGAAGAGGTGTTCCTCCAGAAGTCTTGAAACTGCTGCACCAGGAAATTAGTAGTGGTGACTTTGTAACAAAGAAGACGTGGGAAAAATTACGCCAAACTAGAGAAAAACAACCCAAGTATGCGGATAGCATTAGCACTGCAGGATATCGGACGTGTCGTTTATTGCATATGGGCAAAAGGACTATCTGTTGACAAACCGGATTATCAGTCGCAGGATTGGAGGAAAAAGATGTTGCAGACAGACACACGAAAAGTTGCAGTACCTAAATTAGGCTGTGGATTTGATGGGCTCGATTGGCGGAAAGTCTTTAATATTCTGGAAGTAATCTTACGCGATACCGATGTGAAAATCCTGTTGTACTTTCCTTCATGATCTTGTAGTTTCGGAATGAGCAACTTGTAAGTTGCACAACCCCTTACTCTGACAAAAATGTGCGACATTAAAATAAGATGTAAAAATGGAAGTATAACACATTAATAGACCTGTCGATATCGTGGGAGGAGTTGTGCCTTGCCGATAAGGATTTTACGTGAGGAATCCAAGTTTGCCAACTCGAAAACTGCAGGGTGAACTTTTTGTGGCCGAAAAACCTCGAAATTTTGGCAGTGTATAACGGTTCTTTAATGCATTTTGAATTGCTAATTTTGATTTGGTAAGTATAGCTTTGTTATGTATTTTTTAGATGTATAGCACTCCAACTCCACTAATCTGACTCAGATGCCTATATACTATCCGCAGTCCAAGTTGACCAACACGTAAAACCCCTACGGATGTTAAACAACTTCCACGAGAAAACTAATATCCTAAAAGATAATGCTCTTTGAGGTTACGAAAGCATGTAGAAACGGAGCAGATATTTACTACGTACGTTTATCACGTCACTCGCTCACTTAGCCATGCAATATAATTTACAAGCATGTAAATATAAATTTTACAACTTCATGTAACACGATTTGAAAGTTTTACGAACTATTAATCTACATCGTAACATTACATCGATCAAAAGCAAGCGCGATTACAATTAATCGGGCAACTAAATCAGTCCAGGAGTTGTAAACGTACAGTACTTTATTGCGGGTTCTCCTTATCGGACCGCATATTTCCACAGCTAAGACCTAACTCGCTCACCTCGATAGATAAAGAGGTTTTACAAATGGAAAATCCACTATCAAATCTGTTAAAATCGACCGACGAAAGCTATACGACTATTACGTTTACAGCTACGTAAATGCTCAATATATTTTCGGAAAACCGTTAAAGTCAATTACGCCAAAAGATACATTCTCCATCGACGCCATTTTTACATTTCTAATTGCGTTTCCCTGTATCTATCTGTGAGCTTAATGTGACTGCACAGCTTTGCTCTTTTTTAGCAGAAACATCCACACGTGATCTTTGAAGCTCGAACCAAGGCAAATAAGGGTTGCGCAAATTCTGGCAACATGGAATGGAGGTTGAATGCACATGCAGGGTTCCTTCCGTCACAAAATAGGGATCGTCTTAAGCGAGACGTGAGGGAGGCGACCAAATACATCGAAACTGCAATGGTCATCGATAAGGCGATGTTCGAAAAAAGAAACGGAAGTACGCGGGCCGAAGTGGTGCACGATTCGATTCAAGTTGCCAATATTGCGGATCTTTATTTTCGTACGTTAAATACGCGAGTGTCGGTAGTTTATATTGAAACGTGGCAGGGCGGAAATCAGGTTCAAATTGACCGGACTCAAGATATCAGTCGCGCTTTATCTAATTTTAATGATTATACGTCTAGGAAACTTTTTAAAGTGGATAAGGATACGACGCAGTTATTAACTGGTGAGGCTTTTGTAGGTGGTGAGGCCGGCATGGCCGTTCCTGGCACTGTCTGCACGGCAAAAGCAGTCGGGATCAGTGTCGACATTAATACGTACGAGCCTCATTTACTTGCCGGCACGATGGCCCATATGATCGGACACAACATCGGTATGGGACACGACGATGGAAGGGAAGAGTGCCGATGTTGGGACTGGCATGGGTGTATCATGGCTCAGGCTATCGTAGGTTTAGACAACGTGCAGCCTTATAAATTTTCGGAATGTAGTCTTTCCGATTACATAGATAGGCTTAGAACGGGGAACGGCATTTGTCTTCTAAATAAACCCAACGAGTTAGAGGTAAGTTCTTTATACTTCAATTGAATAAGTTCGAGGTATATCGAATGTATATCTAAATCGGATAGGTAGATAAATTATAGCTGAAAAAAGTTTAAATTAAGTTGATAAATTCTTCTACCAGCAACATCAACTATACAAAAGATTGGAAAACTTTAATACACTAACTTTTATTACTTAATTTGTACAAGATGTTAACAAGCCTTCTAGTTATCTCTACAAGCATAATTTATCAAGCGTTTAATTAAACTTACGCCATCTTTGTATTTTTGTTTATAATTTCCAACTTTCACTAAGAAGAATATGACATTAATGATAATTTTTGCGCGACCTAGTTCAAAAGTTTTATTTTGTGAGAGCGTCTGAAAATAATACGCCTCGTGCCGTTAAAGTACGCTACGGCCATTAAGTAATCTTTTTCAAAATTAATTTTTTATCACGCAACTAATGGGTTATAATTATCAAACCCCTTTTGATCTCTTAGCCGTGCATAAATGGATATATGGGTATCCTGATGGTATCAACTTGTATGGCTATCGCATGATTTAATTTAAACGTTTACCTCACGTGTTTTTGCATTGTTCTCCAAATGCTCGGTGCTTTTTTGTTGACTGACCACATCAACTACATTCGTATAAAACCCATTGTGGAACGTCAGTTACAATTTGATTCATTCCTTCCCCAATCAATCTAGATCACTGACTTTTAAACTGTTCTATTCAGTTAGCCTACATCTCGAAATAATACGAGTATCTAGGTATAGTGTAGAGCAGTAAAGTGAATTAAATTGTCTACGGCATTATTTAAACACTGTCCTGGTCAGTTTATACTTCCAGGAATCGCAGATAATTAAAACTCCAACTCAAACACTATGTAGAATTAAACTAATATTCCCTTTTAGAATTTACCGTTAACTTTAACAAGATTATAAAATTTTAAACGAGCGGTCGTGTTACAACTATAAATAAGGTTCGTTTTACAGCACTTTTCTTTTGTTAATTTTTGAGCACCCTTACTTTAGAAAGTATTCGATCGCTCTTATGATCTTCTCCCCGTATTTTATAACAAACTCCAATAAAATTTAATTTTCCCTCGTCCAATTCAGTCTCTTCCTACGCTAAAAGTGTAAGAAGGAAAAAATTAACTAAAAAAAAAATTTAATTCGAGTTATCTCGAAGTGAAAGTTCTAGGGAGCTTACGCGGCCGTAAATGATTGCTTGTTGTAATAGCCTTACGGTCATAAATCTTATTAGTAACAGTTTAAATTCTTCTAGCCGTAACATAAGTTTGTTGGAAATAGTGCGCTAAATTAATTGGTGTCTGTTTAGGTACGAAGAACTTGCGGCAATAGAGTAGTGGAAGAAGGTGAAGACTGTGATTGTGGTACCATAGACGAGTGTCCAACGGTGGATCCTTGTTGTGATCCAATCACGTGTAAGTTAACTAAGGAAGCGGAGTGTGCTTCGGGGCCCTGCTGCGACAGCTGCAGGTTACGTGAGAGAGGGGTAGTTTGCAGGGAGTCAACAAACGAATGTGATCTGCCGGAGCACTGTTCGGGAGAAACGGGAGACTGTCCCACCGATGTCTACAAAAAGAACGGCAATTCTTGCGGGGAAAATACAGGGTACTGTTTTAATGGTGTTTGTCCAACGCTCGCGATTCAATGCGAACACATATGGGGAGGAGTAGCGGGGGATGTTCAATGTTTTGACCAATTTAATTCTAAAGGTTCACTTAATGGACATTGTGGTAGTGACGGTCAGGGAAAACTTCTTAAATGCTCGCCGGAACACGTTAGGTGTGGCTCTCTGCAATGTCAAGGAGGGAATCGATATCCACTGGTGAAGGGCTTGGATGAATCATATTCTAGAACAATAATTTCCATTAAAGGAGTCGAATATGAGTGCAAGTAAGTGGCAGGAAAGCACATACATATGATTCATAGCTTCACTTCACAGAGCTACAAGTGGTATTCTCGACAAATCTGATCTTCCGCCCCTTGGTCTCGTGCGCGACGGGACTCCATGTGGAGAAAACCTCATTTGCCTTAATCAGACTTGCACCAGTATTTTTCCACATATAGATCAAGCAAAGTGCCCTAGTAATCAAAATAATCTCGAATGTTCCGGCCACGGGGTAAGGCGACACGCCTTGGGTACGATTTCGTTTTGATATGCTTTGTTCTAGTATTGCACGAACAGTAATAAATGTTATTGTGAGCCTGGATGGAGCGGACCTGATTGCTCGATACAAGTGGAACTTACGCCCCCACTACCCACATCGCCTCCCCAAACACCGAAATCCGTTGGTAACTTACAAGAAATAATGAGGAAGAAAGAAACCCCCTACGGTAGGTTCACATTTTTCTTCTTTGATACACTTAACCAATCATTTTTTTGTAAATTGTTCTAACTGTGTTTCAGGTTGTGTCCAATTTTGTCATGTAAAAGTATTGTTATGTCTATAATTATACACATATACACATTACATACTTGCACTACTATAACCATTGTCTTACAAGGATCATATTACACTTACTTATTATGCAATCCATGTGCGGTTCCACAAAGCTAGGAATGGTAAAAATGTATGGCAATTTGAAATTCAGATTTAAGTTAGTTGTTACTAACGGTTTTATGCTTCCCAGCTAATTACACCACTACTTATCCTTTACATAGTTTCAGTTTTCAGCATTTTTAGTCCATGTAAATCTTAATTTTTTTAAATTTGAAGAAATTTATTAAAAGTGAACAAATCGAAAATTTCTTCAGAACAATTTCAAAATTAGCAAACGTATCACCAATAAGGATTGAAATAACGAATTTGCTTAGATGTTTGGTTGTGTACAAAAAAAAGTTTCTCTCTACCTCAAGACGGCGCACTCCAAAACGGGGTAAGAAAAAATGTTGCCAAATCTCGCTTAGTTTAAAACAATTCAATTTGTTCAGATTTGTTTATAAATGCATAAAGCAAGTACCCATCAAATTGCTTAAGATTGTGACAGTTTTCGTGATCAACCAACAAATCTTGCAGTCTTTTGATTTGTTAAATCTATGTTGAACTTGAAATACCCTCAAATACCGAATGTCGTCGCATTCAAAATTGTTTTGACAATCCCGTTGCGTTGGGGTAAAAATACGCCTCAGAAAGAAATTAAAGGGAAAACGCAAATTATGAGACTTTTGAAAGTTTCTATCTCACACCTAACTTTTTAACATAGTTAATTGTTACGCCCTGTATAACTTTTCCGTATTAAAACGCTAAATGCTAAAAATGTCGTACACCGAAAGCCATACCATATTGTGTCGATGGTTCAATTGTCACTCAATAAATTGTGATATATGTCTAGAAACCACGATGGCAGAAAATTCTATTGTGGCAATGATCCCAAATGATAGAGCAAAATTCGTCATTCATGAATTCACCACCGGAGGGTTCACTCCCGAGTGCGAGTGTGGTGAATTCGCTTCCCAGAATAGTCACCCCTAATATTCGTCTCAGGTCCATTTGTGAACCTTTATTGTTAACTAGAAATGTAAAACCTATGACAATTACATTGTAGTAGATTAATGTACAATGCTGATCCTTCGAATCCTTTCCTTTTTTTTAAAATGTTTATGATACTCAAAAAAGTGGTGAAATTTGCGTCTCTTCTTTGATTTTTGATGGATACCTTTACCTATATACCATATGGTATATGGTAGTATAGAAAATATTTTTCCTTTCCTTCTTGCGAGTTATTGGTAACTCTAAAAGAAAACTTTTATTTTGCAAACAGTATTATCATGAAAAATCGACAAAGTATGATGAAACCAGAAACTCAGTCTTTACAATAATAAGTACACTCTATTTTGTTGAATCACTACGTTCAGCTTCGGTAAAAAAGACCAAAAGGAAAAAATCTATCTAAAGAAGTAAACTAATGATAATGATTGTATAAACCTCCCATAATAATTACCAAATAATTAATTACATACCTAGTTAATATTTGTTATTAAGTAGTCGACAATTTTAATAGAAGAGTCAAAATTCGATTATCGATTATATTAAACCATTATAGCCGACTTTGGCTTAGCCCAATTCGGTACAATAGGTGCCCATCATTGTGAAAAAACGGGGTTGCATTTATGAGTGACAATCATAGCCACCGTCCATTTTCCGCCAACTATTATGCATTTGCAATCTCCTCGAATGCAATGACTGAGCTCATCGATGAACGTGTAGTATAACAAAAACCAATCGCCGTTTGAATCGAAGAACAGAGAGCTTCATTTGCCATTAGACATTTAAAGCTCATTAGGACTTGGTCAAGAAAAATCGAACATTGAGAGCTTAGGAGAAAATGAGGAATTACTTTTTATGGTATGGCGTAATTAAAACCCCCGCAATAGGTACTAGAAACATACTATGGTGGTTAACACTGAATTAACCATAAGATACAGATCCACACAACACTAAAACAGATCCTAATAGCAATTTGTAACATGAAGACGATTGTATTTATTTCACAGGCTCAACGAACACCGATAATCTGACAACACTGACCATGGTGTTTATCCTGGTGGGTGTGGTGAAGGGGGTCTTCATATGTTTTGCAGTTGTGGCTGTTTGCTTCAGGTACTAATCAGATCAGTCGGTCCCAGAGAGTGAGCGGGGTGCCTGTGGAATGTACATAAGCTTCACCATTTTCTCGATGTTGTTGCTATGTACATACAACATAATTGTGCACTGTTAATTTATATTAGTCTCATGCGTGCTTTCCTTTTTTCTCTTGGCCTGTATGTTGATGCATGATGCCGCCGTCCGGCGCCGACGCTACTATCCACCCTGCGTTGGATCTGCAGAGGATTATCACGGATCCAACACGATTTTTCTTGTGGGCGTTCTGTTGTCGGTGGTAGGGGGTGTTTTCCTTGTGTTTACGTCTGCAGCTCTATGCTACAGGTCAGTCGTAGTACACAAAAACTTCTCGTTCTGCCTCAGGTTAGTGCGCAGACCGACCAGGTAGTTCCACATAAATTCAGCATCAGCCAGCTTTTTCCTTTACGTTTACCTTATTTAGTTTATTTCCTTATTTGCCAACGCTATATGTCCGTAGTTAATAGAATTTTTACCCACTCACTTTTCATATCACATTAGAAGTCTTCTTTCTGGTCTACTTACTAACTTCTTAACACAACAGCTCACTATGACATTAGCGAGTTACTTAATCTCATGGGGAGCTCTTGTGCTCTTAACGCTTACCATAGATTTACAATTAATGAAAGCACTGTTAAAACGTGTAAGTATTTACGGGGTTTAAGTTATATCGAAATAATTTACATATTGTAAATCTTGTACATTTACAAATATTGCACGTCCTTTTGATAAAGGGAAGAAGTATTGCATGTATACAAGGACGTAGCTCTTGGTGATGTACTCTTTGCTTGTAAATTTAATTGTCTCTCTCACTATTAGTTGCTATGTTTTGTATGCGTGCAGTGCGAGTGCTTATCCCGTCTACCTATACTTAACTTATAAAGCTAATGAACAAACCCATTAAGTTTACAATTTTTTTTCAAATACTTTCCACACTTTTTTCATAATTTTTTGCAAAGCTTTCTTTGTTCTACTAACTATCTGGGGACAAACAAAACTACAATACATATTTTTTTTGTGGAAAAGTACAAAAAAAATCTCCACACCTCTTTCAAACTTTTGTAATATTTAATTTCCAACCTAATAGAACGAGATATTAATTGAGTCTTCTTGCTTTTTCTTTGTTTTGTTTCGGATAAATTTCAACTGGAAGGAAGACGACGGTTCGCAAATACCAGAAACCGTACATTAAAAAGTCGGCGTCGAAAAAGTACAGCGTCCCCACCGGAAATCATTCTCAGGAGGACTCCCTTGATAACGCGAACAAGATTTTGGGGAATATCGCATCGTACAGTAGGTGAGTTGGTTTTAGTTCTATCAGCCGTTAGTTACACCGAAGAAAAAGTTCATTAGTATTTTGCACCAAATCCATCATCATCATTTTTTTTTACTTGTTTTCCGTCATTCAATTTATGCAGCCTTCCCTACAGAGTGAACGTTGGGCGATTGTTACAGTTTTTTTTGCGTTGCATTTTACTTTTTTTGCATTTCTTTACGCGTCTCTGTTCGAGTCAGCGTTAAAATTAACATAGAATCCCCAGCTTTTATCCAAAGTAACTGCACCCATACTTATCATTTCAGTTTCTGTTCATTATTCATGTTAATGCTAACGGAGACTCGTGTTACACACTTTCTGCGTTTTAACGACACTGATGCATGTCGAAAGGGCGCAGTTTTTTTACCGACCGCAATTAGAGGGAACCAAAAAACTTCGCCCAGTTCATCGTAAAATCTTGAAACGTTGACATTATTATCTAATTCTAAGACAATTTTTTTTGTCAGCCGCGCCGATTCCCAACGAGTTTTATTCCGACCAGCCAATCATATGGGAGCAGGGAGTTCTTCGCATTTCCAGTTAGTTCGAATTAATGTTTAAATATTTGTGTGTCTCAATTTTCTCACTCACTCATTGTTATCGTTCATTTAATGTATCATACGAGCCTCTTATTGTCACTGTCGTACTCTAGCTTCAAACCTATGCACGATAAATGTATGTGTCTCGATGAAGAATTCCGCTTCAGTTCGACACTATAGTACACTTTTATTGTTTTATTTTTAGAGACCACAAGATGCAACAATTGCAAAGGATAGCCGCGGGGCCGGGAAGTGAGGATGATGCTATCATTTCTGGTAAAATTCAACGCTCTTAGTATACTTGAACCATAATTCACTTTATAGGAGAAGAAGAAGCCGTATCCTTCATAGATCTTCAGCATAATAACCTTAAGCTTCCAGAGAAGAAGGGCATACTTAAGAAGCATGTTTATGGTATGGTCATGGGATCCGATGGCAAGGAAGGTTGGGGCGATGGGTCGCGCAGTGATGATCTTATGGCTCCCACACAAGAAACGGTTAATCAGCTTATGAGCGGCGCTAGTATGACGGAGGTCGAAAGGACGCTTAAAAGTTTGAACGGGTACCACGATGATATACTTCAAGCGCTTAGAAATGCAGCCAGTCATAGAGGTGCATCCGCGACTCCTTCAGGTAGCAGTACGGCACTTAGTGAAGATATTTTAAGAAGGAGTTTGCAAGAATGCGTTATGAGTTACCCGGAGTATAAGCGATCTAGTAGTCAGGATAAAATCATGGAACCACAGGTAGGTTTTATGGGTTGCTTCTTTTGCTGGGGTGATCGAACTCTATACTCGTCTTTGGATTACCAGATGATTTTTGCACTACAGCCAAATCTCCTCTTTTAGTTTCTTCTGGTATACCATTTCCAAGTTTACGCGAAGAAGACAAAACATTTTGGAAGAGCCTTTTGAAAAGATTCTTGCCCTCTTTTTCTGTTTCTATACCATATGCATAACAACTGAAGTGAGAATTCACGAATAAAGCTTTGTGCCAATTGTTGAACTCTCTCATTTGGCAGTTATTTTTACAAATAGTTCTTTGATTCTAATTTCCCAGTTGATTTGAATGCCATTGTTTCTTATGAACTCATGAACTATACCTTTTCCCATATATTTTGAATTAGTAGAATCAATAATTAGACAATTCATCGTCGAATACTTTGATACCCACATTTTGATGAGCAAGCAATTTTTTTTAATTATCTTGGCCATTCTTCTTTTTGCTCCTTTACCCCAACTACTCTTCTATCTTTCCGCTTAGTCTCACAATGACTACAAAGAGATTTGGTGGACGATTTCAAGTCATCTATCTTTGAACAAGCGCTTCTTTCATTGAGATTTACAAAAGCCTTTTCTACCTTTTTTTTGCGACGATCTCGACACAAAACCACACTTTTGGATCTCTACATCTGAAGAATAATTTTGAGTATGGAGTATCTACTCTATATTCTGTGACTTTGATTTACACGTGACGTCACACTAGATGCGCAAGAACATCCCATTTTAAGTGTATTGTGAATTAACCCGACGACAGAACCGCCCGTAACGACATTCAACTTCATCTTTTGGACCAGATTTTATTGGCGTTGTATGCCAGTTTATGTTTCCCGGGCGGTTTGGAGGTAGGGGTGGGATTCGCTCACTTCTTTTCGCTCCCTTATTTTTTGGTTTACTTACCAAAGAGCGATAAATAACAGTACTCGAGACCGAAAGTCCACGGGAACACAGAACTGGTATTAGGATATATAATGTCCTGCATTTTACAGAACCAAAGTTTAAAGGTTCATTTTTGGCCACATTAACAGCAGCAGTTCTGTGGTCACAGAACAAAAATCGAGGCTCTTTTATAGCGTGACTGTCAACTGTAGTTAATCTTTACAACTGCCCTAATGCAGTTCAAAATTAATTAAAAGAACTCGATGAATCAATAAATAATAAAATTAAAGTTAATTACAAGAGAAGCAAGTAAAATGAGTTAACTAATCTACCGAGTTAAATTTAATATAAATTACGTTGGAAATTCGCATGTTTTATTAAAAACCAGAAACTCATGAGGAAGGACCAAATACAACAACGAAAAAATCTAATAAGCAGTGCAATCGCTATCAATTATTGTTCTTTTTGCGTTTCTGTTTCGAAAACAACTTCACTATGGATTTCAGGGGGAATGACACCACCGTAATCGAAATGTAATTTATTTATCAATGCCATAAAACATGGCTTATTGTACACATTGGAACACAACCGGTGAATCAGATGTCAATTCTTTAAACCCGATTCACATTATCGGTCACGTCACGGTCAGATCACGGCCCGGTCGCGGTACGGTCAATTATTGCAGAGTGTATTCCTTTTACAACTTAAATTCAATTACCAATAATTGACATCCGGATACATAATTCCGAACCGCTTAATTTTAATTAATCCCAACAAAGTGCAACGTAACATTGCAAGGTCTAGATTAATATTATGTCTCTCTCTGAATCACGCCCCAGCGCGCACATTTATATTATGATAATAAATGCTACCTGCAAATATTATATCTCTAATTCAGTTAATTAATGTTAATTGAAAAGAATTTACATTGTAGTTTCTTTAAAGTAGGTTCATACTGCTTTTAATGTTTTAGAGTTTGTGGAACCTGGCTATTAACTTATTTAGACCCGTCTTCGATGCCTTAGCCTACGTTTAAATCTTTAAACCTTAAATTTAAATTTAGATTATTTAGTTTAAAGTAATGTCCAAAATTAATTTGAGCAAGATGGTTCGGTTTGGTGTTGTATTTGAACATTATTTAACCCTCCCCCCTAATTTCACATTATGTATAGTTATACACGGTTGATATTTCGTTTCTTGTTCTTACCCGAAACTTGTTGTGCAGGTGGTAGTGGAAGCTGAGGACGAGGAGGAAGATGAAGTACCTCCATGTGGACCAATTCGTATCCGTAACTTAGAGGATCTTATACGCCAATTAGAACATCATTCCAGACACATGAGTCCAAGCGGATCGGAAGATATCAGAATGTCAGAAACAGAGGCCGATCGGCACTATCGTCAAGAGTCGTCTTCGGCCTGTAGTGAAAGCTCTCATCAGTCTCATCGAGATTCGCGCTTCGTTTACGGGCGGTACCGTCAACCGTCGAGCCGTTTAGCTTACCCTCATCATCCAGCGGAAGAGGAGAGTATCTACGAAAGTGCAGATCACGATCGAGGACAGCCGTGCGGGGATACTCCGGATAGTGAAAGGTAAATGAATGAATTCCGAACGGCTACCAGCTACTGGTAGTGCTGTTACACTTATTTTTTCTAGTGATGAATTTATTCAAGCTCAACAACAGTTAGCACGATGGGCGAGTGAGGATGGTGTGGGACAGGCGGGACCGAGTGGAGCAACTCCTCGAGAGTACTTCCCATCGCCAAGCAGTTCGGCAAGCGAAGAACCACCGAGCATCGCACGCGCTCCCGTACCCGCTCCGCCCGCTGTCCCAGTGCATCCAGATCACGCCACCATCCACAGGCCCAAACGTTATCCGGAATATAAACACTGATAGTGACTTACAGGGTAGTATAGAATACCAGATTCCTTATAGCGAAAGAGAAACAGGCCCATCAAGCATCGGTTTCCGACTGATAATTCCTATGGAACGGCATTCTTAAAACCCGATCTTCATTAAAAAGACGTTTAAAAATGTGTATAAACTCGTTTGTGTGGAACATATTCGATTTACTCGTTCCCCGTGTTAAATTATAAGTGTTGTGCCGTCAAAAAGACTGGCGTATATATTTGTTGAAACTTGTTTAAAAAAAAGACTTTTATGCAAACGTGCATTCTCAATGCATGCATATTCTAAATCCGTGAGGTGTATGTTTATGAACCCGATTTTGCCTTAGTTTTTGCGCGATCGCCTTTCAATTTAACGAAAGGCGAGCGCTACTCGTGAGTTATGATGACGAATTCCTTCGATACGAAACGATTTTTTTATTGTAGATGTTAGTTCGCGAATTCTCTTATTCATACTCTTCACAGAGGCAATGGCCTAAATCATCATAACCATGACGTTATAAGTTCTCGTTAACGTTGGAGAAGCAGCCTTGTTAAAGCCTTCCCCAAAACACTTTTTCGCCCACATTCTTTAGCTTCGAAACAAAATACTGCTGGATTTCATTTCATAATCCTTGCATATCCTACAGAAGTTCTAAAAATCAAAATTAGCATAAGTTTTTTAAAACGTACCGTACCCCAAAATTGCAACCGAAAATTTCCACAAAAAAAGGGGTGACTTTAGTAATTGTTATGATTTAAAAAAAGTTTTTTATAAATCGTTAAATAATTATAAAGTTTAGGTGGAGTTAGCAGGTCAGCTTCTCTAGATATCATTCATTCATAAATTGTTAAAAAATATTTTTATGCTCCATCCATTTCTAGGATTGTACAGAACCTTCTCATTAAGTCGTTGGTGGGCGTTATTGAGTGTGTAGCTAGTTTATTTATCCAGATTTCGATTTACACTGGAATCGCGCGTTTATCCTCATAATAGATTCATTGTTGGATTTTGAGATTAGAGGGATAATCGGTTATGATTCAATTGTGAATCGAATCCGGTGTTAAAGAGGTATAGGATTCGCTCACCACGATTGACAATTCTAAATGCTCAGTAGACTACGCAAATTTATGAAGACATTTGATTTTAGTGGAGTGCATTAGAGACAATTTAGGGTGAAAGTGTATATAAAATGAATGTATGATTATTATAATTCCACGAATTGATAGACAATGAAACCCTAACTAATAACTACAATTGTTTCCTACATTCCAAAAATATCCGCATATAAATATTCAGTTGCTTTATTTGCAAGAACCGTTTTAAGCACGCAAAGAATACCGAAATCCTCTTAATAGAAACATTCTATCGAGAATGAGACGATTATAAAATCGTTAGTTTAGTTTTCATCCAGGAATGCACATTTAATAATTTCATTATAACAAGAAAAATTTTGGCTGTTGCTCTGAAAATCTCTCACTTAGAAAATTGTGCAGGTGCTGGCTAAATTCTTTGTATGAAAACTAAACTTCGGAAGTATGATATAAATAATTAAATGTCAATTATATTGTTCCGCAATTAATGAAAACGCTGTAATTTTTCGTTATCTGAAAATGTTTGTGTAGTATAGAACTTGCTGTATTTCAACCCGCCCATGTTTAATTTACAGAGTTAGAGAACTCACCCACATTACTTAAAATGTGCCAATAGATATGACTAATTTATTGCTTTAATTGCACAATTCTGTATAAGTTATTGCAAACGTTGTCACCTGGAAATGGTGATGGTGAGAATCAGGCACTCACTGTTGAGCTCTACTTTGTTAAAAGTCTCGTCTCTTCTAATGTCACAATCGGTTTTGTAAAAATCGATTTAAAATCAATTCTAAAGTTCGTTTTATGTCGTATAATTTAGAAAAGATGAGATTTGTTACTGAAACAATTTGAAAAACACACTATGTGTAAAATCACTTGCAAAATTTTCTAAGAGAAGAACAGGTGGATGTAAATATAGTGTTATGATGATATACACTGCCTAAATAAAATGAATTATTACCTAAGGGTTTTTGCTATTACAAATCCTAGAAACTTCATTTTATGGGGACAATGGGTGACAAATTTTTCGCTTTTTTTCCAGTTTTCGTGCAACAAACATCCATTCAATATTTGCACTCTCAGATCCTACAAAGGCATTGTAACGAGTTTCAGGGAAAGGCACTCTGTCCCTTCGCCTTATCCTAGACTCATACCTCCTACACGTTAACGTTACGGAGCTGGTGCTAAATTTAAAATTTTAGCGGTTGTCGTTGACCAGTTCTTTTATTTGAAGAAGCACACAGACAAGAAAAAATAAAGACATCGTTGGTAATAATTAGGTATGTTCCTTAATTGGAAATGGACCTATATTTAAATTTCACATACAACAGTAATTTAGTAATTGTGGTAACTCTCAAGTAGGTAATTCTAAAGAAGTTTGGGTAATTTGAAGTAATCTAGTAATGCTAGTTATAGTTGGTGTAGATACGTTTAAGTTGCAGTAATTCATTAGAAAACCCTGCTATTAGAATACCTATCATGTATAATAAATCGCGTGTAGAACGTTCGTTTCACCGTCATAGTCGCTTACAGTTTGTAACAAATAGGTAGCAAGGTCGCTGCTCATATTTAATTAAATTCAATCAACAATGGTGGACATTCTGTGCGAAAATTAAGTCATCATAATAAATTATAACCAATTAGGTACCTATTTATAACGTTCGCATGGGACATATTTTAGCGCATTATTTTTGTTGTACTGGACTTCTTCAAGACTGCCTGGTGCGGAATGTATACACTCCCATATAGCAAATCAACATCCCATTGATGTATTTAGAACGTTCAGTCCTTGAACGTCCACGTGAAGGACATTAGATGTAACATGGACGTTCGGAGAGATGTTACTTCTGCACAAAACTGGCCATCCAAATTATGTCCATATTTAACATTGCGTGGACGTGCCTTAATAACCGTTTCAGAGTTGTCCATGTAATGTACTGTGCAGACTAGGCCACGAGAAAATTAAAAATTCTGTCTAGTAATGTATTATTCTTGAAACTAAAACAAAATTTTACAGGCTTGTCAGATTTATAAAAATGTACATTACACGGTCACGTGTATTTGTCTTCATTCTTTGCACGTTCATTGCATCGCCTCAACCGTTTTGGTACTGCCAATGCTCACAAAAATATGTTATACTTAAGTAACTGTTAAACTGAAATATTCTTATAAAATGAAAAACCTCTGTCTGTATGTTCTGCATTGATGTTTTAAATAAGTAGGTATGCAGAATTTTTCGTTACAAATGATGCCTGCGACCCTGGGTCGACGAATACCCGTAGTAAGTGAAACTCTCCGAATGTCTTTAATTCCGCATGGTGATTTTGGGTAGTCACCCAATTTGTGCTATTGCTTGCAGTAGGCGCCCTTTTCCCAGTTGGTTTGCCATCATGCCGTTTCGTAAATGCATTCTACTATTTTTCGATGATGGATCAGCCTAGATGCTTCACATGGTCTCCGACTGCATCAGCGAAGTAATATTCTCAGGCACAGTTTGTTGTTAGTAGAGTTTCCTTAGTGTGGTCGGCGATGGTGATATATTTTCTGGTTGCTGGTGCCATTATTCGGGACTTAAATGACCATGTTCAATCTCGATAGGAGATTGAGAGAGTTTGGGGTAGAATGGAAGGCGGTATACCATCACTTATGCCAACTGAAGACTAAAACCGTCCAGCTCAAACGAGTAAAAGCATTCGCTATCGGCCCTTCTGACAAACATAACATAATTACGCAAGCTAAAATTATGCGTGGGCTGTCACAGCAGTTTACCCCCTCTAACAAGTTTTTGGGATTACAAATAATTTTTACGTCTTGAGCGAAACACAACTTTTTCTCTATTGCGAAAAACATTGTATTTAATAATTTTTCTTCTTTTCAATCCCCACATGCACAAGGCTGTACTTGTAGAATATTCACCGTTGTTCGCTTTATTTGGAAACTTAACACTACATTATCTTACTTCATAATTTCGTCTACCTTTTTAGGGGAACTATTTGCCCGCGTTATACTTTGTTGAAGTTTCTTTGCTGTAATATTTTTTGCGCACTTCATTGACGCATTTGCGGATAAATTTACAAGCTTTAAAAAGCCGTTTGGTATTTATTTTTGGGATGACACAACAATCAATGATCATTGAATATTGCTTGCTTTTTAAAAAGGGTGAGGGGGGTTGAACACACGTTCTGCCATTCATGGTATTCTCACCGACATGAATTGGTTTGTACAAACTATAACTTTCCTGCGCGCCTCCTTTCCGAGATCAGTGGCCGGCGGGAGGAGGGAGGGTGTAGAAATTAATTTTATTTTTCATGGTATTCCCATTAAAGGTCTCAACAAAAAGAACTGTTTTCTACCAACTACCACCCTATTACCCTTCGTGGTACTCTAATGAAAGGTCTCAGCGAAAGAAATTAGTTTCTACCTCCTCATCGATTCTTTATCCTGATCGGATATACTTAAATAATTCCTTATATCGCAAGAACAGATTGTCGGAGAATGGTACGCACAAAAGGCGATTGGGAAGTCTGGAAGAAATATACCTACCTATTGGTTACGAGCGAATATCTCTAAAACGTTTTGTCGGAGGAAAGTACTCACAAAGGTAAAATGAATTATCTGGTCGAGGCATATCTATTGGTAATCTCCCCATTAAACATCTAACAAGAAAGTAAACTTTGATAAATATAGCAATAACGCAACCATTTACATACTAAGCTATTTCGGTTTACGGTTATAAAAATGCGCTTTATTTGCACAAGAATTATTCACAATTTATACTTGTTGTGAGTTTCTTAGTTTTTGATAAATTGAAGAGTGAAACTATTTATTTTTTTTTAATTTGCACTTGCTCCATAGCGAAAAATGTTCAATCCAAAAAGATGTCTTTATAAACACATTTTGCGTCGGGTTTCAAATAAAGGCGTCAGAGGGTCTGAAGTTTTATTTAAATTTGACATATTTGACCGCCCACCCCGCCTTAAGCCAAGAGATCTCGCAGGCAAACATGACGATTTCTAATTCGTTATGTATCAAAAAAAACTTCATCAATGTTTCGTTCTCCGTGCAATATAACGGACACTACGCACCCTGACAGCACACGGCATGCTAGATTTCATAGGTTTTCTAAATATTGACTCACGAATTTCTCCATTTCTTTTGTAGGTATATCAACCATAGGCATATTTGAAACACAAAAGTTCTACTGATTTCAAGTGATACCGGAAGTTTCGATATGTGATCCGATAGATATCGCAATGTCACACATGAAATTATATTTGACAAATTTTTTGTAAAGTGATATTGAGGTGAACCTTATTTCGAACGCACTGTATAATATACCATTAATATCCCAAAACGATTTTGGGCAAAGTGTAAAAGTGGCAAAAGAGAAAGGTTTAATTCACCTCTGGCCACATATGAGCGCAATGTTAAGGTTTTTCGTATTTCTTCTCTTTCGCCCCCTGCAAATGCTCAAACCCGCGACTTTTCGCAAAAGCGATCGGCACACTTTGAACCCTCCTTTTGCATCCTTAACGGCTACAGATTTTGAAAGTACCGGTCCCAATAACTTCTCTTCCCGAAGGTGCGATTCTTGTGGTAGCACCTTCCCATGAACGCGTATAAAGGTTTTTCTTTGAGGGAAGCGCATATTATCGCTATCCCTCCTAGTGGCGCCCATTTAGGTACTGATGAGTTTATGGCGAGAAACAGGAAAATTTATTGTTCTAGCAATTTTCTGCACGTTTACATACCTCAAATAACTTGGAAATTCAAGTTTCTGGATATTTATACTAACTTTAACTTACGGTAGTCGGTAGGTCGCTCGTAAAGATGGAAAAATGGGGTGAAATCAATAGCTTCCGCTCCCTAGCAACCGATAAACAAAATATTTGTCAATCTCAATTCTCTCTCAAAATGTTTTGGGGTTTAACGCCGGCATTAGACTTCCAAGAGGAAATAAGAGCAAATGGTAAACATGTCGACGAAATAAACATTTTAATTGTAGGTGGACAAGACTGCCGGCACATCATCAAAACTTTAGCAGGTCGATACAAGCACGAGAAGGTGGTGATTAATTTTTATATTTTGGAAGCCGTTCTGGAAACAGTGGCGAAACAACTTCTGCTACTAAATATCGCACTTCAACCCAAGGAGGAGCTTGGTTTAGTTCAAAAAGCTAGGTACTTCATGGAGCTGTACGGAAACACGTTGGTGCGACCGGCAGTTGCGAAGTATTTAAAGTTGAAGGCTAGTGATCTTGTAGAAATGATTACGAATGAGTCCTACTTGAAAGATATAATGCCATTTGTGGATGTACAGCTGAAGTACAAGGAACGTGATTATTTGGAGAATGTGTTCAAGTTTTGGTGCAGTGTCGACGATTTTGATATTTGCCTCTCCTGGGATCGCCGTTTACGTAAAAGTTTAGGAGTGCGTTATGACACTAGGATGGGTGTTTTTGATTGGGATTTACACATGCGCTTACACCATGTTGGTGGTATACAAGTCTGCTCGCAAGAGTACAAACACTGGAGAGCAACTGGTGTGGCATTTACCTGGCTGGAGTCGGAAGTATCAAAATCAAACCGTTCTCTTGTATGTTGCGTTATTTCTAATGGCGAAAAGTATGGGCATTACGGCTACTTAGGGGAAATGGAAACTGGACCATACGTCGCTTATGGAATAGACTGCGAAGATCTCGCCTTCCTAAAAAGGCAGCACGGGACAAATTCTCATAGGAGTACAGACGTAACCGAACGAAATTTGCGGCAGTACTTTTACGAGCTTGAAAACGGCGAAGAGTACATTCACACTAAAGTAAATAATCTTAATTTGGGAGCGTCCACCTTTGCAGTCTCCGAAAATAAAGTTGTCGACTGCGGCACTGCGGGCGATATTGTAAAAACTCGGAAACCTTGCAGATGTCTTAATATTGACGATGTTAAGGTAAAGTTTGTGACCATAAATGCTTTATCGTCGATGAAACACAAAGAAAACTTTCACAATTTTTTCAATCTTTTATACTTTGGAAGCACGTATCTAAAATATTTGGATGGCGCCGTGGTGGAATTAATTGCTGCACCTGATTCTGTGTTAATAATTGAAAATCAAATGTTTGTTTTAACTCATCGTGATAAAGAACTAGAAGAATTTGAAAAGCTTATCGAGGAAAAAGTTCAATCTGTGGAGCAAAAAACGTCTGTACCGTTTAATGTTAAAAAAGACCATTATGCCAAATTTGTATTAAAATCTTAATGCGTAGGTATTTAGTTTTATTTTATGTGTATGTGCATTTGTTTAAAAAGTTTAGTTTTAGTTGTTCTATGCAAAAACTTAGTAGAATATTTATATTTATATATATTAGGTACAAAACGTCGGGGGCCATGTATCACAGTACAATAATTTTATATCACTGTCACAGCGACCCCTAAAAAGCAATGTGTACTATATTGTAATCACCAATAAAAACTAAATATTATAATGTTTTCTGCTGTAATAATAGGAAGTAAGAGGCTGGTAACGCTGCACGGCTTCAGGCTGCAACTCTTAAACGAGGTATGTTTTATTCAATTCGGTATTATCATATTTTTTTAAAATTTGCTGTGGCTAGCACATATGCCACTCGCACAGATGCCCCCACCCCTTGGCTTAATAGGGAAACATACAATAAACCTTTCAGCCTATAAGACTTTCTTGATTACTATCGCCACATAAAGTAGACGTTCTTTTGCTAAATTTTTGAAGAAATCCAAGGTTTCAGTCCATTTCATTTCGAAGGCTAAAAAGATCACATCATCCATTGCTTGGTGAGACATCGAAAACCTTTGTAGCTTTTTGATTCGCACTGTTGAAGATTAACTTTATTCACAGCAGTCGAACAATACCCAAACACTGTAACTGTTGCATATATGGAGCTCGTGCGCTTCTTGAAAAGCTTCTTTTTGAGCATGTAACATTTTGAAAACATTTGGAGATAAGCTCGATGTTGAAAACGAAATTGGCCTACAATCTTTTATTTTTGAGTTACTTATAGGCAAAAGTTGCATTTTTCGATTTTAAACCTTTTTTATTGGGTTTTCGGAAATGTGTTTCTTTGTTTCTTTGTAATGATTGTTGTATAATATGCCGCTTTTAAAATAAGTATGCGGGGTCAGGTAAAGAAATTATCGGACCTAAGGATTAAAAAAAGTTTTAAAAAAAAATTATTAGAATTTTTTTTAATCTTTAAAAATCTCTTTTTAAACTTTTTCAATTTCTCTTGAATCCTTTTTTAATATAATATACCTATTTAATATACCTAATAATTGGTGTGCTATAGTTTTGAAAAGAGAATGTAATATGCTGACTGTTGATTAAAATATATAGGGTGTTTGAAAACGGTAGATTATGCAACAATCATTTGTAATAAACACATTTCCCATAACTTAATCAACAAAGAAATTATACACTTTTATCTATAAATGGAACTCAAATTTTTAAACTCAAAAACAACAGACTGTATGCTAGTTTGGTTTTCAACATCGAGTTTATCTGAGAAAATACATCGGGACTGCAAGGTCAATTTTTTCTATTAGGTATATATAGTTTTCGAGTTACCGCATACTGGCAACCAAATTTGGCCACCCTGTAGAGAGAAAATAATTTATACACAATCGTGATGTAGTCCAATTTTAATAGTTGACATAATTCCGAATATGAGTACATCCTTTCTTTATATTTGATCATTTATGAGCATGGTATATTGCGTCATGCCATTGAATAACTTAATTTTTCATTCTACGGTGGTACTACATATTCACCAAGAGTGAGTAAAGTAGGTTCCAAGAGAGGGCCTAGCACTTGTTTGATATTGGGGAAGAACAGTTCATTGTCTTTGTCGTAAGCCTATAAAGCATTCACAGCAACTCCAGTTTTTGTCCATTTCTTTCCACAAATCGTACTCTGCTCTTAAGGTTTCAGAACCTTCTACATCTATTCGCAAAAATAAACGACAATATGCAATATATCAGATTTCGAGTTAAAACGGTGGCATTGATTTATCAATTTTCTACTGATCTCTCGATTTTTATGTATGGGGCGGATTTGAACCCTATGAACCACCCCCTTACCTACGTGCTGGACCATTGAGTAATTAATCCTTCACTCAACACTTAAACCGACACAACCAAAATGAATATATAATAGCGCATTTTTGAAAAAAATATCTACGCTATTATATTCGTTATGGCTAGCTGGCCGGCTGCCCGGATGAGATCTCAGCAACTACAATAGCTAGAGACTTCCAATTTTCACTAAAAGCGTGTGAGATCGATAATTGAAGATAGCGCTACCCAGTATAAAAACTTAATTAAGTATTTACTTTGTGATTTGTTTTACAAAATAAAGACCGTACCCTCAATTGAAATTAAATAAAATTAATATTTAACGCAGCTAAAATTACTCGTGAGATCGATAATTTTAAACTTCGCTAATAAAATATTGACTTGTATTACCAAAAATATCTTTTTTTAAACGTCATTTAAATTAAATTTAATGTTTTCTATACTTGCTGCTCCAAAATTATTGCTATGAACACCTGCCCTTATTGATAAAAGTGAATTTAGTGCATTATGCTATGCAGACCAGAAACGTCAAGCTGTCAGCTTTATATCATGATTATTAAAACAAGTTAAAAAGTAATCGTAAACGATTTACAAAAAGCGCATTTCCACTTGCATTCATTTCCCATTTGTAAGATGCAACTTCTATAAAATCGTAAAAATCCGGCCACAAATATGAAAGACAGCGTTGCACATGTGCAATCCATTTTTGACGTGCTACTTCAACTTCAGTTTATAAGAAGAATTTCATTTCAATGCTTTTCTAAATAAAAAAGTTGGAACTGCGCATGCGCATACCTAAATTTTGAAACTAACGTTAGATTTTCATTTATTCCAAGTGCCTGTATCAAATTTCATTTAAATACTTTTATAAATAAAGAAGTTTGCAATTCGGTTTATAAATGGTCGAGATGCGAAAAGGGCACTGTGAATTTTGAGTCGATTCGACTCAACTTTTTGGCATTGCGGTTTATATGGCTGAAGCTATGCCCGTATTGAATTTCATGCAATTCAGTTCATAACTAACGGAGATGTCAAAGCGATCGGACATTTCTAAACAAAGTTATCGTTCACACGGACAGATAGAGGGACAGGCAGACAAATGAACAGACCAACAGACAGACGATAAAATTATGGAACATGTAAAAAATGGTTTTTTGGATTTTTTTACAATAACTTTTTCAGCAATAAATAGCGGAATAGCAGAAAATATCCTTCCTCGACACCATAACGAAACAAATAGCGAAAAAAGTAGAATAATAGCTCTTAAGATAAAGATCTAGTAGCGTCTCAAAGAACGAGCGGACAGACGGACGTAGGGGCAGTTTTAGTTTTTGTACAAATGCGCTAAAAAGGCCTTTTACTTTCTTCAGAAACAAAACTTGGGAATTAAGGTTCACGGCTCCTCTTCCTTACGCTACTGTCCCCCACACCGGGGCCGGGACACTTCGCCGAATGCTCACAACGCCGACACGATTTTTAGATGGTCCATTATCGCCGACTAGGGACACTACGCCGACCGTGCCCACATCGTCGACAATCCATCACATCTGTCGGCGATGTGGGCACGGTCGGCGTTATGTCCATCGGCGAAGTGGGCATTTTCGGCGTTGTGCCCCTTGCACATTTGTCGACGATGTGGACACGGTAGGCGTAGTGTTCGTCGGCCATATGGACCAGCAAAATATCGTATCGGCGTTGTGGGCATTCGGCGAAGTGTTCTAGACCCCCCCCCGACATTTCTGCAAGCAACGGCCACTAGTACAGACCTGCTGCTATGACGCCCACTTTGATCAATAAGAATGAAACTACGTATCGTTAATGTGGACTAAAGAATAACACATAAAGGAATTATACTGCCCAAAATGTGCAGTGGAAATTTTAGTTGAAACCCCTTGTATGTACGTATAGCACATTTAGAAACTTGGAACTTTTTTGTTCATTATATAAAAGGGTTCATAGCATCCAAAACTTTATCGATATACAGCAAAATGTGTGCAACATGAAACATTTGGGACCAGACTGTTTTTATTACGTTAATTTCTGTAGATGAAAATTACTTATAATTATTCTCGATGTTTTACCTCTGAATTTATTTAAAAAAAGACACGTTATAATGTCACCCTTTTGAGTCTGCTTGCAACAACGGCTGAAAAGATTAAGAAAAAATTCAGTTTATACATTTTATTTAATAAAAAACTTAGCTTTTCTTTGTGAACATTTTTTTACTTGTAAGCTTATTGCTATTAATCTTACTTTTAACTGTAGACACCTGACCTTTCATTCCCAATTTGTTTCGGTTCTTCATTTTCAATTTACCTTCTTTACTTTTAACTGCTTTAACTTTTTTCTCTGCTTGAACTTCCTCAACTTTTGTTTTCGATGGCGATTTATTTGCTTGTTTTTTTGGATGCTTCAGATCCGTCTTAGCTTCTTTACTCAATTTTGTACTAGTTGGTGGTTTCTTAAGGTCGTTTGTTTTTGATTGATCAGCTTTCTTTAATTTCACCTTTTTACTTTTGGCGTCACCACCATCTTTTTTGATCACCTTCTTGATACCTTCCTTTTTTGTGCCAAGTTGATCGACTTTCATTACTTTACTCTTTTTACTTTTCTCGGTTACGTCCCCTCCGTGTTTTCGTTTTTTACCCTTGGATGGACTTACATTCATTTTTTCTTCTATGTCTTCAATTGAAACTTCCTGCACTTCCTCGACAGCTTCCTCAACTGTAGGTGGTTTAGGTATTACATTTGAAAATTTCTTTAGCTTCGCAACAAAGAAACCATCCATATTGTGCGTGTGTGGATAAAACCGTCGAGTGAATTTCATATTTGGATGAAACCTGTGCTGTCTGTACGTTGTGAAACCTTCTGTGCCAAATTCGAGACCCGTTTGAACTAAACAGACGTTTCTACGTTTCAACGCATAGTCTATAACAGCCTCATTTTCTTCAACTAAAACTGAGCAAGTAGAGTAGACTATGTAGCCCCCTGTTGATGATTTTGAGTTAACCGAATCAATAGCAGCAAGTAGAAGTTCTCGCTGCAGAGTGCTACAGCGTTGAATGTCCTGCTGATCCTTATTAGTTTTCACGCTCGGATCCTTTGCGATGACCCCAGTCCCAGTGCAAGGTGCATCGAGTAATACACGATCAAATCCCGTAGTGGTTTGAGTAAACTTCCTGCCATCTAGTGTGGAGATGATGGAATTAATAACACCCATCCGATGAAAATTACCAACAACCGCAGTAATTCTGTTTTTATTTACGTCATTAGCAACAAGAACTCCTGTGTTTTTCATAATGGCGGCAATATGTGAAGCCTTACCGCCAGGTGCCGAGCACATATCTAAAATTCGTTCATTCTCTTGGGGCGCCAATGCCATAACCGGCAAGAAACTGGATGCTCCTTGAATTATGTATTGACCTGCTAAATACTCGGGAGTCGCACCCATTGGAACTTGGGAAGAGTACACAACTAAACCCACCTTACTCCACTGACCGACTGGATCGAGATTCACGCCGCGATTTATAAGTGCCTGAGCCAAATCACGCCGTCGTATTTTCAAGGTATTTGTACGAATTGTTAGTGGCCTCTCCACTTCGCTTGCCTCCAAAAATTCGACAAGCTCAGAAAGCGAAAACAACTCCATGAATTTCTCCATTAAAAATAAATTATAGCTATAATAATTACATAAATCCTTCTGCAGTAACTCCATATAGTCCCCCCGTGAATGTTCGCCGTCTCGTAGCTTATTAAAATCGGCCAAAACAACAATAACATCGCGGACCCGTTGTTGAATGTCTTGTAAAGTCATCTGCTCGTTTTCCACATCGTTCGGAAATTGGAATACCTCCTGGCCTGCAATGTTAAGCTTCAGCTCTTCATCTGCCAGTTTCTGTTCACGTTTCTGTTTCGCTCTCAATTTCTTTGTCTCCTTTTCAATAGGTAACAAATCATCTTCCTCATCCTCTTCCAGCTTAATCGAATCAGAATCAGATTCGTCTTCGTCTTTTATAGAATCAGAATCAAATTCGTCGTCATCCTCATCTGAGAGGTCATTCAATGATGTTACCTTTGCGTCCTCCTCGCTCTCTTGATCTTCATCCTCTTCGTCAGAATCGTCCTCTTCGCTATCAAACATTGCAGTTTTTACTTGCTTTGGCTTCAGCCACTGTTTATTATGATCAGAAAACCCTTTCATGTCAACCTTAGGCTCCTCTTCCTCGTCGCTCTCCTGCGGATAGTGAACGAAGTTCTTCGGCCTTTTAAGTGGTTTACTTGTGGAGCCGTTCGGAATGCTTACCTGTTTAATTGTCGTACTTTTGACATTCTGAGACAATTCCTTTGTAACCACATTCTCCTTCTTTATCTTCTTTATCTCCTTAATTTTTTCTTTACGTGCGGCTCGTTTTTGTATACGTTTAAGGGCCCTCTGCTTCTGACGATGCGAAGGTTTCTTTTCGGGCTCATCTACGATAGCGGAAAATGTGATTTTAAAGAACGGGGGTACTAAACCTACCTAGTGCTGCTTTTGGAAATTTCGGGTCTTTTTGTTTTTTTGCCTTTCGTCCTGGTCCTTTCTTAGTTTTTTCTTCGGTAAACTTTGCCTTCCGCCCCATTTTTTTTTATTTGCCTGATACGTGCGTACACGTATCGATGAAAACTAATAAATATCAAATTAAATCTGAAAACGTGATATTTGTGTTTGAGGTTAGGTTATGAAGACATGCTGACAGCTGTGCCTACGCTACCATAACCGTTGTGAAGATATCAACGTGACTATTACACCGCCAAAGTCTCAATTATATCCACAAGGTGCAACAAGCCAAAATGGACATAAAAATTTGCTTTGTTTGTACATCAATAATTCATTACCCAAATTTTAATTTTAACAATTTTCTGCACCCTCTAAATCCTTTAAAATAGTTAATGAAAGGTGGTTTGAGGCGTAAGGTAATAATATCGTGATGTATTCGTATTCTTTGAAATCAAACGGGATTTTTTTTATTTAGGGTGTAAATTATAGACAATTTAATTTGTTGCAAATTCCTGGCGGAATCTTCGTGCCTTGTCTCGATAGATAAATAAGCGATCAAATAAATTATAGACGTAAATGCGAAAGGAGATACAAAATGCCTTTGTGTATGGGTTGTTTTTTCTAAAGTTAGCAATCGCGCAGACCTCCCATCTTCCAGCCTCTCCTTTCGCGTCTCAATTTCTCGGGTTTTAAGAAATTTTTTTTCTTTCTAATGTGATGGTTTGGTCCGTCTGTTTGTCTGTTCCTCGTCTAACTCGAGAACGAAATAGATAGGTGCGTCAAACCTTCGCCAATCGATTTCTACCAGTTTAAAAATCGCTGCTATTGAATATGAATCGGATTAAGTCTTGTTTCCGAATGCGACCTGAATGGAAAAAAATTCCCGTCCTGAAAATCGTGTGCGATTCTTCGTATCTTGTTTCAACACGCCACGATTGGCTGCTCCCGCACCTTCCTCCATTACCGATCCGTCTGTGTAAATTCTTAGAACGCCTTCCTGAATTTTCCACACTTTGACTCGATCCACTGGATGTCAATGTTCGTGTGGCGCAGCCTTCCATTCGATGTCTCTCCCCGGATGACCGATCTCTTCCAAGACGTTTCTTTTTATACTTTCGTATTTCGCCACCTCGTTCGCCACCTCCTATTTAATAACAAAACAAGCGGTATTGCAGCACTCAGCACCAGTAACGCCTCCGCATTTGTGATAGTTATAAATTCAATCATTTTATCGAGATCTAAAGGTAATACTATCCGCGATTTACATTACCCTTGGTGGCAGCACTAGTACTGTCTTAATGGCTGGTTGTTTAGCAACAAATAATACGCCGACAGGCACAATACGTTTATTAGTAACTGAAATAATTGTCGGCTGAAGACGCTTCATAATTTCTAAATCGCGAATTATCTTTGCTACATCACTTAAAAGATCATTTTAAACGGAAGATACTGTATGTATATGTTTAGTATACGTCCTTTTCATTGCTTCTAATTGACAACGTTGCATTGATCCTCTGGTCTTGACGGTTAAACAACTGACAAGTGACAAGTTCAAAATTTAGGTTATGTTATTACTTTCTATTCCTATTCAGTGCTTTATTAATCGGATTATTGTCAATGTGATTATCTAACTGCTTTTAATTCATTAAAATACGTCTCCTAATTTATAATTGTGTACTACATAATAATTCATATTTAAACAATATAAAAATCACTGAAAAAGAGAAAAAAAGTACGTCAGCTGATCACTTATTTACACTTTAAGATCACATCACAAACAGCGCTGTTGGCCATCTGTCAACAAGCAAATTACAATTTAGCTTTGTCAAAATTGCTAATTTATGTGTTCTAAACAAATTAGCCTTTTCCGTTTCATATAATTTTGTAGTTTTTTCGTTAGAAGATGAACGCCAGGTCGTGAATCATTAATAATTCACCGGTAAGGACGATGCCAATTAATTACTTTTAAAATGGAGGTTGAAATGCTCATTCTTTATTTTAGCTTTGACCTGGCGATGGCAGGAGATTCTTATGAAGTTTCAATAAAAGCTCTTAGTACTAAAACAATCGCCTTATTGTCGACACTTCTCAATCCGCCCAAGATTATTCTCACCGAGGACGGATTGCCACGGTTCATACTGCTCTAGTACCTTACAATTTTATGATAGAAATTCTTGTTGCAGCGATTGGAATGGGTTAGCGGAATTAGTTGGAATTAGCGGGGAATGCATACCAAGTTTGCAGAATGCTAAGGATCATACTAAAAAACTGTTAAGTGTGTGGCACGAGAAGGATCAAAAGTCCAGTACCATTTGCAACCTTTTGACTCATTTAGAGAAATTGGATCGGTTCGATGTTGTAGAGGACGTACAATATTTTATTGGTAAACATTTTATTTTATTATAGTGACATTAAATTGGCAGTTATTTCGGTTCTTATCATGTTTAATTGGGATTCCATAAACTTTATCTCATCATAAATTGCGTAATTGTTTACTGGGCGATTCTTAGTAAATTAGAAAATATCAATTTCTTGGATTTTGCATTATAAAATTTCATTTTGCAAAAGCCAATAATGCCCCATTCCTTTGCAAGTGTCTGTGTCTCACTTTGATCAATCAGCTCCTTGTTCATCTCACATTTATGTTCATTCGCAAGGCCAAGTATTTCTATAATTATAGACAAAACAGCAACACAATAATTGCGCTCAAGGTTATTTTTTGACCACTACTGGGACTACAATGGCCTTGCCAAAGAAAATTTCAGCTTTTGAAAAACGCAAATCTTACATTTTTCATTCATTTATTGCAGAAATAATCACATGAGGAGGAGAATAAAAATAAGTATGTCAGCAGAAAAAATTTGAAATGCGTTGCTTTTGATTGATATGTGGGATGACTTGTTCGAAAAATTGCAATTTCATTTGTTTTTTTTCTTTTCTTACTTGCAGTCTAATTTGGTGAAATAGACTTACCTACACAGATTAAATATCTGTGTCCTGTGCTTTGTAATTCCCAGATCCAAATCCAATTTGATGCAATGTAATTTGATGTTTTTTTACCTCGTATAGCTCAATCTTTAAAAAAATGGCAGCTTCCATCACTTGTGACAATTGTGTACCACGGCCTTGTTGAAATACCTAGGTGAATGTGAAGTGAAATTTGCATAATCTATTCTAATTTTGTGAAATACAAAAAATCCTTGTACCAGAAGTGATCGAATAGATCGTAATGTCACATATATAATTTATATTTGACACATTTTTCCTATCTCGCCAAATAAAAGAGATATTGAGGCGACCCTCTTATCTCAAACGCATTGTATAAAGTTGACTAAATAGGGAGATGAATTTGCCTAATGTTCCGCCCAGATTAAAGACATTACTAATGGACTTCTGCAGCGTCAACTTTTCTTATGTCAAAGTGTGTCTTTGTCGAATAATGCGCGGGATAATGGTTTAATTACTTGGAGATAAAAGTTCGTGAACTACGACACGGTCGAAACACCTAAGTAACATCCACATAAAATAATATTTATTTCTTGGGAATACGATTGCACGATTGTAAAAAGAGTTAATTTGCCGTCCATCAACTTTACTAAAGAGAACCACACGTGCCGCTAACAGGAAACAATGTAACGACCCGTACTGTGTTTATTTTGCTTCTTCGATATTTGGTCGAGTACTTCGTGTATAGCTCATGCAAAATTTATACCGGCTCGTTTGAAATTTTAGTCTTTTATTAATACAAAACCACCTCTGAATGTGTTGAGACCAGCAGTTCACTTTATTAACACGTTTATTTAAAATTATATTATTTAATACAGGTTTCATGCGAACGCCCCAAGATTAGTTCAAACTTTTTATACTTGAAATACTTTCCGCCCGCTTTCGATCTCTTCTTTCACTAAAGTGTAAGTACTTTTTAACCCGAAAAAGGAAACCAACGAAACGCCTGCTCTGAACGTGCTAACTACGTCAGCATACTCCAGTGGCGGCTTGTCAGTGGCGGCTTGTCCGATGAGGCAAACCTATAGTTTTATAATTTGGCACGTTACGATTATTTAATTGTAACGCCACCATAAATTTAAATCGAAGAACAAATTAAAATTAAAATTGCCCACGAATTTACTTTGCAATTGGCTGCGCGTCGCAGTATCAAAGCGCGAGGCAAATGTGCATCTGCCTCTACAGTTCCATATAATGAAACACTAGAACAACGTAAACTTTCCACGATACGTTTTTAAGTGCTGTATGTTAAACAAGGAACCATTTGAGGCTAGCCTCTGTCCGTTTAGCAGCTCAAGTGTAAAAGAGACGGAAAAGATTCGATGCATCTCCGGAAGACTGTCGTCGGGCGTTCTCGATTGAGGAGCTGCGAATTCTAAACTGGGAGAACGACGTATGCCGATTGTGTATGATCGAATGAAAATATTGCATTACAAACATTCATATTAAAATTGGCGGTAGTGGAAGCGTCCCGTTCCTGATTTAAGTAAATCGTTAATTAACGTAAGCAAGCAGCTGTTGGAAATAAAATAAAGCTCTTATTAAGACCTGGTATGAAAAAGTGATTGGCTCACACGTGACATTTATGGTTTAAATAACGCGGTTAAAATAGTCGCTAATTGTCAAATAAATTTAAGGGCAGGATTGGAAACCGCCTGTAAAATTAAGTACCATGCCCAACTGACAAAGAAAATTTCTTACAATGCTCATCAGAAAATGCGCCCATGCATGCAGTATACCTACAATGTACGTACTGTGTCGTGTATCAAATACGAGTAGGTAACAAGGTACCTTCTTTTACTTTCAATGTCTACTGTATAGGTACACCCATTAAAATATAGGAAAAAGCATTAATTTTTTTTAACTTTTGGGGTAAGAAATTGCCAAATTGTAGCTAAACTGATTTTTTCGGAGACCCCCCCCCCTTACCATACCCCCTCACCAGCTACGTAACTCATGAGCCGCCATGCTGAGAGACTGGTGGTAAGTCTTTGAATAGGTTTTACTGTATGCCCTTTCGGGTTTTGCAAATAATTTTTCAAAATTCCTACCACAAAAGGGCACACCTCTAAATAGGGATGCGAAAAAATGTTGATTTCGACGAAATTTGGTATCTGGTGGTTTTTGAATATAAAAATTACGAATCTGAAATTAGTTTTTGAAAATTCGAAAAAAATAATTGCACTGCAATTCTTGGCCGGACAACGAAAATGGACAAAATTCCACGAAGTTTGTTGTGTAGGCACATACGGAACAAAATTGTTGAACAGTTTTTTTCAAACAAAAGTTATACTCATTTGAAAATTGGTCTTTCGGGTCAGAAAATGTTCTCCAACAGTGGTATAACAAGTACAGTAAACGTCAATATTACATGTTCTGCTAAGGGTGTCTACCTACATTTATGGAACGCCGTTTTACTTTTTATTACGAAAGTTTACAATGTAACATTATAAACAACAGTTAATTTTATTTCCCGATTTATTATGTTTGTTGTTTTTATGTGAAACATTAGGTAAATATGTTTGTTTAAAAAACTTCACTTAATTGAAATGATGTATGAATTATATAGCAATGTGTATAACGAAAGTTTAACAATACAAATCAACAAACGAATACATAAACGAACAGTAATATAACTAACTAGAACTAATTCAACAAACATAAAAATTTATTCATATTAAATGTGGGATTAAAATTATGAACAATCATTTTAATTCAACAATCATATTAATTCGTGCTGTTAAAATCGGAAAGCATTATTTAAAATGATTGTTGAATTAAAATGTTACATGAATTAAAATGTTTGTTGATAATTTTAATTCGTATCTGTGATTGTGCGGAAGTTTCAGGAACTATCCTTTAGTGTATCTGGGTACGTGTATACTAGCGCCTAATTAAAATTATCAACAAACATTTTAATTCATGTGACATTTTAATTCAACAATCATTTTAAAAGATTCTTTTACTACGTCTAACAATAAAAATTTATTTGTTTGTTGAATTAAAGTGATTGTTGAAAATATTCGGCTTCAACTTTCAAATCGTCGAATTTATATGACTGATGAATTAAAATGTTTGTTGATAATTTTAATTCCACATTTAAAATGAATGAATTTTTATGTTTGTTGGACAAAATCGTTTTATTAATCGAAGTATTTCTTGCAATTCAATTTAATTGTTTGTATTATTAATTGTTTGTTGAAATACAGTTTCATATACACTCATTCAATATAACAATATAATTCATTTCACATTTTTATTAAGTAACATTTTTTAAACAATCATATTTAATACGTAAGACAATAACAATAAACGTAAAAAGTAGAGGCATACGATTGACTGTTATTTAAAATGGCACATTGTAAAATTTTGGAATAAAATTGTACAAATATTTTCAGAGAACATTTTAATTCAACAATCATATGAATTCATGCTGTTAAAATCGGCCAGAATTATTTAAAGTGATTGTTGAATTAAAATGTGACATTAATTAAAATGATTGTTGATAATTTTAATTCGTATCTCTGATTGTGCGGAAGTTTCAGGAACTACAGTTTAGTCTATTTGACTACGTGTATACCAGCGCCTAATTAAAATTATCAACAAACATTTTAATTCATGTATCATCTTTATTAATCAACATTTTTTTAATCAATCTCTTAATACGTAAGATAAAAACAACAAACGAAAAATTTAGAGACATAAGATTGACTGTTATTTAAAATGATACATGATAAAATGTTGGTATAAATACTAAAACGGCGTTCCATATACATTTCACAAAAATTTGTCAAATAAAAAATGATAATTTTATCACAGCGAGCAACTTCGACATCAATGAGGAAACAGTCACAGAATAAGAATAAGTAGGCCATATTCTGTGGAAACAGACGAAAAAATTCAAGGCACAGTCCTTTTTCAAAAGCGAGATAGTACATCGGCAGAAGAAATCCAAATTCCTCGTTTACCTATTACTAGATACCAAATACTGACTTTAACAACCTAAGTACATGCTGATAATCCTAAGTAAGTTCCGGTATCTACCATTCAATATAGGTATGTTATTATTATTATTATTTATTTACAACTGTACAGTTTTTACTTAATTACATTAACAGTATACATGTCACCAACATAACTAATATTTACATTAGTATTGTTTATTTGTTACTCAGTTGTAAACGTTGATTAACAAGACAAAACGCAAACGGGTAAACGTCATGTTTAAACGCTACTGACTTGTAAAACTGACAGCAGACTTGTAAAACTGGCAGCAGACCTGTAAAAATTTTACAAGTTAGTAATCTAGTAATTTCATTGGCCAGAATTAATGCGAAGTCTCTGTTACATGGATCACATGATATTTTAGACATTTTTTCAAGATCAATTTAAGAACTAATTATTTACGTTTACAAATGAGTAACAAATAAAATATTGTACATTATACGCCAGGTAATAGTTTTTACTGGCTCTAGGAGATGACAGGCTCGCCTAACGGCTCGCCAGTCAACTTCTCCTATCGCCAGTAAAAACTCACTTACCTGGCTAATAATGTAAAATACTATAAATCTCCATACACAACTTTACACAATACTTCTCCTTCACACCATATACTCTCAAAACGGTCTAAATTTTTGCAACCCAGGAACCAACCGTACTCGCTTCTTAGCCTGCTTGTTACACTATCAACAAAATGGGTCTCATGATCAGTTGCGGATCTTCCTCGCATCACGTTTGTCGCTGTCCTATATGCCGTTTTTGAATTCTCCACCAACGAGCTACAATACCATCCTAACCATCGTCTAGTGAAATCAAAAAACAAGCCTGAATCTTTGGGACAAAATAATAATAATAATATAATAATAATAATAATTTATTGCCATAAGTTTTACATTTTGTAAACATTAGCATTGTCAGAGTAGGAGAGAAAAAATAAAGATTATACGAAATGGGCGTTGTATAGGGTTAATCGTGTTAAATAGAGTTTCAACCGAGGTTTCAACTCATATTTAAAACGATGCGTTGGTG